CATGAAGGATGATCGTGACAGACGTGATGACGATCGCGAGAATGGAACGAATAACGATGACAGGAAAGGTAGGACCTTAGTGTTTATCTTTCAAATACAACTGAACATGATAAGCCTCCCTTGCTAACCGCGTTCTTTAGTACCACTGGATTCTCCAACCCCAGCTCATGATGAGCTGGATACTGCTGAGTGAAATCGAGTTTTTGCATCCTTTGATCAAATAACATTGCGCGCACCTTTTTTAACAAAAAACGATGGCGGTAAACTCCCTCTTTCGTACTCGGAACTGGTAACTATACGATGGTTGGAAAACAACATCATTGTAGTTATCTCACGCGAAGCCACATACTGTTTCCATCATCGGTATTCCCTTACAATATATCCAATAATTTCCTCCCGAACCACCGCTTTACTATTGCTCAGTTTTTTTCTTGTTCTTCGTTCTAAAAACCCAAAAAAAGTTTTGCACCATATTCTGCCTTATGTTTTGTTTCCTGGTTCCCTTCACTTCTGCTGTCACAAAAATTGTAATTCCTGCCGGCCGGGTAGCTTAGATGTTGATGTGGATATAATCTTCCAGCGAAGTCAACAAACCTACCAGTCCGGTCTCTCGAAAGCCGGCACAATTTGCAAAAGTTCAGCGCTTTGTTTTCGTAATTATTTCCCCCTTTCAGCTTTCTGGTCTGGAGAGCCGGCTGGCAAGCTGTCTACTCTTATTGACTTAGTTTGCAGATAGCTCCATTATTTTGAAAGAAGAGTTCGTTCCGTTTCTCCATATGGATCTCCGCCTGGAGAGCACACATTTCCAACCTAAACCACGTAGCTTTCTCCTCGTAATTTATTTACCTTGATACACCTTTCGGTCTTCAAATAGTGATGTTTAATATGTAGCCTGCGCGGAAAATGAAGCATTGATAACGATGTTGGTACCATTTCTTTACTTTTGGAGAGTAGCCTATGAGCTGGTAAGCTGCCTACCAACACCGGTAGTCAGCTGTCAAGGCTGAGGGTTCCGAACCAATTAACCGATAGACGAATTGGGAATAAAGATATGGTTACATTTAAATAGCAAATAAACCGAAGAAAACAAAAGAAGGATAATATCGACGAAGGCGAAGGAGGAATAAATAATAAAGAAAAGATAAAAGGAGATGTGGGCGATCCCAGGAAAGTAGTATCTAGCCAGCCATACAGATTCATTCCATAGTAGACCCTTGAAACATTTTCCTTCATAAATACAGAAACTACTTTTTACATCTTCTCATACGTAGCCATCAAAGAACCTGTTAATTGGGGGCGAAAAGTTATATTAGCAAAAGCAAGACTGCGTGACATATGCGTGACTAGGTAGGGACAGTATAATCTGACACGAGAAAATCAAAGGGGGAGGAGTGTAGACTTACCAATAAAAGTGGTAACGAGTCGTGAGCGAACTTGGCATATATCTTCAGGGGACGAGCCAGATGGTCGCGCCCATCTTCCGTGCGATACTGATACTCAATTTCGCATTTGCGTACGCATCTTCATCTGTGCGTCCAGGGGTAACCAGGTCATAGTCCACATAGTTGCTCTTCATTCCGTTGAGTACATCAAGTAAGAAAATGCCAGTTCCAATTGATTGGTCCTTGAAACTGCGGATGGCAGAACTCCTGCCCCCTGCGCGTGACATGTCGTTTGCCCATTTGATCATTTCGTTGTCCGTGATCTCACGCTTACCCATTCTCTGCGCAAGCGAGGATAATGTATTGGTGATATCTTTGCGCATGAGCTGCCATACAAGCCCGAGAGTCAGAGTCCGCTGCCCGTCAGTAATATCGGCTCCCTGGATTCCAACAAGGGAAAAGTGGTTTTGTTTTCCTAGCTCAATGACGTAGTTTGTATTCTCCACAGCCTTAAATCGCATGAGCTCGCCACCGGAAGTAGGGGGTTTGTTAACGTGCCTCCAGTTAACACTTCCAGGGATAACTTTATCGTAAGCCTGCAGGAGGATTGTTCCATCGCGAAGATCGTCAAATAACGAGTTGACAGCTGGCTGGACATCCAGAGAATTCAGCCAAAGAGTGAAAACACGGGCCTCGCGTTCACCTTCGGCATCAAAGTCTTCGACTTCAAGTTTTTCTTCCTCTGTAATAGGATCTAGGCCTGGATGCGTGTTGAATAGGTTGGCCACGAAGGCAAGGTTAAGTTTAGGGTTGCCTGCTACTAGAGATGTTGGGGTCAAAAACTTGCGGCATTCAAGTAAGTCTGCGTTTTCCAAGACCTCGTTTGCCCGCTGGAGTAAATCGCGAGTTTGGAGAGGGCTGCGGGAACAGATGTCTGGAGCTAGTTGGTTGAGCAGGACTGTATAATTTTCTCCATCTTTGACGTCGTTCGAGAAGTTGTTGACTCTGGATTATTTCGGTCTGGTATTAGCGGCGTCATAGAAAGTAAACCCATTGCTAACAGGTACACAGGTACATACCTCCTGTCCCATTTGGCGTTCTTCAGATGGTAGTTGAACCATCGCAACAAAATTTGTTCTGGTGGAAGCCGAAGAAACTGTTCTAGGGTCTCATCGTCTTCCAAAAGCCTGTAGAGTTCGGGATGTAGTTTAATATCGATTTTCCCGAGAAGGCCTCTGCGAATAATCTGCCAGATCAAACCCAGTATGAGGTGCTCTCGAACTTCGATGATATCACCGCTACCAATATTGACAACAGAGCAGCCAATGCCCTTAGCGGAATTAATGACAACATTGTTGTTTTCCGTCATATGGAATGCATTTAATTGCTTTACTTTCTTTCCTGGGCGGTTTAAAACTCGTTCATCAATGGTATCAGGAACGCTATCATTAATCAACTTGGCGAGTACCAGACCGTCTTTACATTCGTCAAACATCTCGAAAGTGTCAGTTGGGAAAGGAAGGAGGTGTCCAATATCGGGATCGCCGGCAAGGACCGCGTTGATATGTCGCGTAAACTCTGTCCGTTCATCTTCGTTGATGGTGTGGGTAACATTCGCAGAGGAGCCTTGAACGTGAATCTTCCCTCCGATGCTGCCTTTGGAAACATGCCGCACACCGGTTGGAGCTGCGGAGGTTGGCACTGGCCCAGAAGAACGCTGGGATGGCGCGAACGAAGTGTCGCGGAGTCTAGCTACGAGCTACAAAGCACAAAGTAACGTAAACGTTAGTGCCTCTGCAATATGCATACCAAGGAGGAGGGAAGATGTTGGTTTGGAGAGAGTTACGTCAACATAGTCCTCGAGCTCAACACGCCTCGAGCTGTCCAGCTCGACTTGCTTCAAGGCCTGGCGAACAACATCGTATGGTTGCCTTTCCGACTGCTGGGTTGCTTTGATCGCCGTAGCCTCATCAAGATAGCCCTTGTCATCGACATCTAGGCGTCGGAAAGCATCTTGGAGTGAAAAAATTTCGCTCTGCTGGAACTGGGGGTATTTTCTGAAATTGGTAGGTTTAAAAAAAGAATAATAATTAGCATCTTGGATGTCCGTTCAATTTACGCCAATTCTGGTATATCATACTTTTTGGAGTTTGATGACGTTCATCGCGACGGTTGAGTGAGGCGATTTTCTTTTGCAGGTAGGGAACTTGGGTTGGCGGGGGTAGATGGATGAATAAAATGTGAGTCTAGCGACTCAACAGTTAAAGAACAACGATTTATTGGAGAGCTAGGTATAGATGGAGAAGCCGTGGGTTTCACCTCTGTGAAATTGGGAAGACACAGCGATAGTTTGCACCAATATAATGATGA